TACTCTCCGACAGCACCTGCTTAATACTGTGAATATACAAAAATGTTTAACTATTTTAAGTGGTAGAGATATACAATCGTAAGGTTCCCCATCTAGACATGTGCATATTCCTATCCGTTGTATCGAAATTCACTCAGCAACCTTGTGGACATATCCACACAGTAGGCAATGAGCAACGCTCCTACTGTGTGGGTTAATGATACTAATCTACTTGGCTTCTCTCCTCCGAACCTCAGCAGATGGAGGAGTGCTCGAACTCGTGACCCATTGGTTGAAAGTTATTTCGTTTCTTGTGTGTTCGTACGAATTTTTCGATAAATAATAATAATCCTCTACAGTTTATTAAAAATTCGTAAGAACATGTAAAAAACAAAGTAGTAACAGTAATACGGATGCAAATAATGACGATAACACGAGCAGAAAGGAGTCCAAAGCCTCCATTGTGTTACTCTATATCACGAAGAAGCATCAGAAACTTTACGCAGAATTCTTAACAAGGCTGGACATGAGGGTAGCATTCGGAAAACTACAAACTCACTTAGAGATAAAGTTTGTCGATTGGCTTAAAAACCCGACAGATTTAATTCAGCAAAATAATTTAATCTATCCAACTTTATGTAGTGATTGCGAGTGAGGTCAAGTATATAAGTCAAATTAGCCGATCACGATCAGTTAGATTAGTGGAATATAAGAATTTAGCCAAACATAGAATGAGACTCCAATACGATCAATAATCTAGATTTTTACTACCAATAAAATCAAAGAATATCAGGTGATAGGACTATAGAAATCGATTTTCGAAAGTGGTGTGATCACACTGATATGAATATGAAGTATAATTTATGCTCAAAACGTCATCATTCAGTAAATAATACTGTATCATTCACTGTGTGATTGTGGTGGACTGGATCATGCAACAGACAACTGTGAGGAGCGAGAAGATGGGCATACATCGGCTGCACTGATGAAAAGAACCTGGGAGATTTAGATTTCGCCCATGACGATTTATGTCAAATGTCTTGTGGCACAAACTCGAAGATCTACAGGGGAAAACCAACAAGTTGACAGAAGAGGTAGCGAAGACTGGACTTCCTTCAGGTGAATGTAAAGAAGACAGAAGTGATAAAGATACCCAACCAACAACAAGCACAGATCACCTTCAACGGGAGAAACCTAAAGAAAGTAGTCTCTTTCACCTACCTACCTACCTACCTACCTACCTACCTACCTACCTACCTACCTACCTACCTACCTACCTACCTACCTACCTACCTACCTACCTACCTACCTACCTACCTACCTACCTACCTACCTACCTACCTACCTACCTACCTACCTACCTACCTACCTACCTACCTACCTACCTACCTACCTACCTACCTACCTACCTACCTACCTACCTACCTACCTACCTACCTACCTACCTACCTACCTACCTACCTACCTACCTACCTACCTACCTACCTACCTACCTACCTACCTACCTACCTACCTACCTACCTACCTACCTACCTACCTACCTACCTACCTACCTACCTACCTACCTACCTACCTACCTACCTACCTACCTACCTACCTACCTACCTACCTACCTACCTACCTACCTACCTACCTACCTACCTACCTACCTACCTACCTACCTACCTACCTACCTACCTACCTACCTACCTACCTACCTACCTACCTACCTACCTACCTACCTACCTACCTACCTACCTACCTACCTACCTACCTACCTACCTACCTACCTACCTACCTACCTACCTACCTACCTACCTACCTACCTACCTACCTACCTACCTACCTACCTACCTACCTACCTACCTACCTACCTACCTACCTACCTACCTACCTACCTACCTACCTACCTACCTACCTACCTACCTACCTACCTACCTACCTACCTACCTACCTACCTACCTACCTACCTACCTACCTACCTACCTACCTACCTACCTACCTACCTACCTACCTACCTACCTACCTACCTACCTACCTACCTACCTACCTACCTACCTACCTACCTACCTACCTACCTACCTACCTACCTACCTACCTACCTACCTACCTACCTACCTACCTACCTACCTACCTACCTACCTACCTACCTACCTACCTACCTACCTACCTACCTACCTACCTACCTACCTACCTACCTACCTACCTACCTACCTACCTACCTACCTACCTACCTACCTACCTACCTACCTACCTACCTACCTACCTACCTACCTACCTACCTACCTACCTACCTACCTACCTACCTACCTACCTACCTACCTACCTACCTACCTACCTACCTACCTACCTACCTACCTACCTACCTACCTACCTACCTACCTACCTACCTACCTACCTACCTACCTACCTACCTACCTACCTACCTACCTACCTACCTACCTACCTACCTACCTACCTACCTACCTACCTACCTACCTACCTACCTACCTACCTACCTACCTACCTACCTACCTACCTACCTACCTACCTACCTACCTACCTACCTACCTACCTACCTACCTACCTACCTACCTACCTACCTACCTACCTACCTACCTACCTACCTACCTACCTACCTACCTACCTACCTACCTAGGCAGCATCGTCTCAACTACAGGCGGTGGCACAGATGAGGATGTCAAAGCCAAGATCGGGAAAGCAAGACGCGTTCCTTCACCAATCTGAAACCAGTGTGGAGATCTACTACACTCAACTCAGCATAAAGCGTGAACAAGATCCGCATTTTCAACACTAATGTCAGTCAAGTAAGTCAGTGCTTTTATGTGATGATTGAGAAACTTGGCGCGTCACGAAAAGCAATTCCAACAAACTACAGACATACATCACATTAACAGCTGCCTACGCTCGATACTGAAGCTCATATCTGATGGCCAGAAAGAATAAGCAACAAGGAACTCTGGCTTGCCAACGAACCAACCAAGGACACATCACCCAACAAATATGCAGAAGAAGAAAGTGGAGATGGAATGTATTGGACATAGACTGAGAAGATGGCTTGGGGACATCATGCGCCAGGCCAGGCCCTCGAGTGGAACTCAAAGGGGAAACGACGAGTTGGGCATCCAAGCCGAAGGTGACATGGGGGAAACGGAAACACACACACACACACATATTTTGTTGAGTTATTCATCTGCCAATGGGTGTAAGCTAAGAAATTTTAAGCAGGAGAAAACAAAACCTTTGTTGGGTTTTGTTTTGTATCTTTGAAGACAAATATCTCATTACGTCTTGAGAGATGTGCACCCGATAGTATAAAGCTGGGAATATTAGGCAAGTGTATTACTTTAATTTGACCCACTTCACGTTAGCCTGTTATAACTCTATTAATATTTCACTTATAGTAAATTGTGTTTATATAGGCAGTGATCAGGTATATTCTACATATCCTACTGTAGTGGGCGTTACTGATCAGAACGGATATAAGTAGTACATGTTGAAAGGGTCAAAGAAATCATAGGCAATTACCAGTAGTGGGTAACGAGACAATGTGGGCATATCAAGAGTAAATCAAGATAGAAGCAGAAAAGGAAATGAAGCACATCATGCAAATGACTGTCTTAGTAGGAAGTGTACAATGTTTGATAACTACTGCACAAGGTATCAATAATAAACATTCCTTTCCACGTCCCAGTCTTCTCGTTTCCTACACTATTACTTTCAGTTGATAATCTCATAACAGGATTGACATAAAGATATTAGTTTTTTAGAACTATGAAAATTTGGGAGTAGTGTACCTCTGAGTCATTCCTTGACAGTGAGCAACCGTTGACCCTACGAAGGATCCACTTCCAGATGTTGATGTCTCGGGGCGAAAAAGCCATCATTCACGAATCCAATGCTTCCAGGTCTTAGAACGGTTCTCCAAATGATGTCACATCCCATGAGGAGAACTATTTTGTTGACACCAATCAATTCACACAAATCATCAAATGAAACATAGAAAAACCTTTATATCCTACTAGATCGATTGTTCGCATACAACATACGGTTTAGGAAACATTATATTCTGGAACAATGAGAATTGTTGGTGAAACTATCTGAGATGGCTATCGACCATCAAAATGATATTTATGCACCAGAGTCTCACGGCTACGTTGATACATTACTCATCGGGCTGATAATCTGAAAGCCTCTGATTCGAATTCTGACACAAGCCTTCACTCAACACTCTGCTACACAATGAGAATTCATAGTAAATGACAATATTTTCTGTATTCATCTTGGTGACTAACAGTGGAATTCGGGAAATGTGTTTCGTTCTGTTTGGGACTCATCGGCTGGATGTACCTGCACACCAGTGAGTGATGTGGTTCCCAGTGAAACTGGAGACCAGTACAAATCGCTTCAAACGTCAAAGCGTTATCTCCAAGACCACTGAGGTATGAGAGTCACTTCTTGTACAACGGGTATCAGTTGATTGTGCTTGATACTTACAATTTCCAGTTGCTATCATCTAGCTTCGAATTGTTCGAACGCTGATGTCAGATGTGCTCCTATGCGGATGCTTCGATATCGCCGGGTATTCATGATATTATATTCACCTTGGTGACTAGCATCATCATCATCATCACCAGGTCAGGCAATTCCACTCTGCATAGCAACGGTAAATTAAAAGTATCAATCAAGGATAATATTTTCTACTGTTTCAATGAATCAAACGAAATTGAGAGTGATCTTAAAGTTCACACCAGTATCTACTGTAATAACTAGTCAGATTTTGGCTGAGACGGTACTTATTCATAAAATAGAGGAAAGTAATTGGTTGTTTTTGCAGTTTTTAGAGTGGCCTTTAAAGTAGCAAAGTTGATAACCAATCAGAATACAGTTTATTAATTACATTAAGTAAAAGCCGGATTCTGATTGGACGATACAAGGACCAATCTGGAAATAAAAATGATGAAATTGTACGTGATTTTCAAGGTCGACGTTTATGAATTTTTCATGCAATAAAACAATGATAGTAAATAATAATGACTCACTTCTTCTGCAGATCGTCGATAAACTCTACCATCTGCATACTTATAATTAGTCACATTCCCATTTGCATCAAAGCCTAATAGCTCACGACTTAAACTACTTGTACGACCAGATTGAACTTCATGCAAATGACGAAATAGATTTAATCGAGCTTTTCCACGAGCATTATCCAATTCTCCATCTGTTAAAACACTGATTAAAGTTGATTTGCCTGAATCCATTCCACCAACTAAGGCTATACACATATCAGGTGACTAGATGTATAATAGTTAGAGAAGAGAAAAATCGAAGTAAATGATTTAAGTCTGGAAGGAATGCTTTGGTTACACAGGGATACAAGCATACACACATCAAGAAAACTAATGTGATCAATGGAATTTAGATTGGAATTCTTTTTGTAACCATTACCACCTCATGGTTCAATGTGATGGGTAAGAAAACTCGAGAAACAAACATACTGGAATGTCTTAATCAATAAGATAGCACGTTCATATAATTTCACACACTCAAAGTCAATTATCTTGCATTCTGACTCTAAATATCATGGGTGAATGATTAAAAAAAATGGATCTCTGGAGACGGCGGTAAATTACAGCAGTACTTAGTCTTCAGTCATTCTGTAATCCTTGATTAGTGTCCGTAAATATGGTATGTGTTTTTCACCATTAGAGTGCAAAGTACTGTTACAAGATTGAAAGGAGCTTGTGCTCATCCTCAGTGGTAAGCCGTTAGAAATAGCCGAAAAGTTCGTGTATCCGGGTAGTTATGTGAATGCTGGCGGAGGTGGAGGTGGTAAAATTTCCAATCGCATATCGAAAGATGGGGTAGAATACGTCAATCCGGACCACCTTTGGCGCCGTTGCGACGTTAGTCTGACCGTAAAAAGTTTGGTTCACAACTTACGTAGTAATGATGGGCAGTGGTTAGTAGTGGAATCAAGGACGCGCATTTCGTTCTATTTGGAACTCGTCAGATGGATGTATATGCCCATCCCAGTGAGTGATGTTCTCCCCGCCGAGATTCGAACTCGGGACCGATCGCTTCAAACACCAGAGCGTTACCCACTAGACCACTGAGTCTCAGTAGCCACTTCTTGTCCGACAGGTATAATTTTAGTGTTATTGCTTGTACTATACCGTCGTTGATTGAACCGAATTGATCGGTCTCTATTGATATATGGGCTCCTGAGCAGATGTCTCGATACTGACTTTATTTTTAGTTGTATAGTAATGATGTACTTAGCCATAAAACTGACAACAAGAGAAAAACCCTGACAGTTATTTATCTTGTTGTATTGATTTGTTTCATTGAAAGACAGACACAAATTAGATGCGGTAGAAGAACATACATGAACTAATGCATACCGCGTACACGCAGACAGTAATACATAAGTTGACAAGTTCGTTCTTCAATTATCCCTAAGATGATTGGTCATTCATATATTAGAATAGTCTGTTGTACATGGAATTATACACGTCAGCAGATTGCCTAAATTTTTCTATGCCTACACATATACTGATCATTTTTAATGTATACTGAACCGAAATGTGTAGCCTCAGTGAATCGACTTGCTGTGTAGACAATTTAATGTTACTCTTCATGAAAATCGAATGTTTCTGAGTTGATTCCTTGTGGATGAATGGATGATCAGCACTTTAACGGTTAGTTCATGAATTCATTATCCTCAGAATTCAAAGTTTGTTTAGTTATGTTTAACAGCAAAATCGTGATGTCAAAAGAGTTTCTGAGGTAGTATTTATCGCAGACTGACATCAGTTGGAGAACCACTGAAAACTTGAGAGCATTGGATAGCTGTTTCCTAGTCCAAATATTGGACTCCTCAGCAGTACGCACCCACGATCTAGCTAGGGACCAAAATCAAGACTTTCGGGTTTCACGGCGAACGAGTCAGACTTCAATGGTTCACACTTTCTAATTCCCGCCAATTCGCGTTATAGCGTGGCTATCACCTAAGGCATGCGCTTCCGTTCTGACTGCTTAACAATCATAAAGCCACTAACACAAAGTTAGATCTTTTTAACGAAGACATAGATGCAGATCTACAGCAGGCTTAGATAACCATACCAGTTTCTTCGATAGGGGATAACATATCAGATAATATAACTTAGTGACAAAAAATAGTTTTGTGCTCCATGCTGTGAACCATAACCTTTGTGTGAAGGGTAATGATACCACCGTCCATCATGAACTTCAGCAGCTAGCAAGGGATTCGGACTATGACCCATTGGTTGGAAGTCGACCACTTAGACCAATGAAACATAGTTAGAATGAAGGTTAACTATTAGTATATTCGTAGGGAGTCAACCAGAAGAGTACAACAATTCAGTTTCTCTGATGAACTAGGGATACTGGTTCTAAGATTATTCGTATACTCCACAGTTCCAGTCATTATACCCGGTAGAGTTGTGGGTCATTGGTTTAAGGAGATGACTTTCAACTGATGGATGACGGGTTCGAAAACCGATCCGCCTACCGAGGTCTGGGCAGTCAGGTAGTAGTATCATTAGCCCTCACACAATAGGTGTGTCCCATTGGCTTAGTGGATAACCCTCTGGCGTTTTAAGCGATGGGTGCTGGATTCCAGTCTCAGTGGGAATACCACTAGTCATTGGAGTGTAGGTACATCCAACTAACGAGTTCCGAATAGGAAGCAACGCACGTCCTAGATTCCAGTGTTAACCGTCGAGCAGACTAAGAGATTTTGTTTTATTGTCCAAGTCGTATAATATTGGTTAATTCATACGCGCATTATACTGGGTGATGATTAGTGACATGAGAATTCGGACTGCGGCCTGATTCGAACCATCGACCACCGGTCGCTGGCCCGGTGATCTACCAACTGAGCGACGAGGTACAACTCCTGACCAGAATTTTATTTCACATCAATCACCAAAGGTTTCGCCCGACTACTATGTGAATTCCTGACTCGTTACTACCGCTTGATCGTATTCACACTGCCTGCCTAGTCAGGACTTCTTATTTCGATCCGAATCTAACTGAAACAGAGAGGGGGACATCATATTGATTATCATTTGACTTTCTGAGATAGCAGTAATTTGGCAGACCAGTATTTTTTACACTGGGTGATGATTGAAAGTGAGATGAAAATCTGGATCGTGGCTAGATTCAAACCATCGACCACCGATCAAGCGGTAGTAACGCGTCACGGATTCACATGATAGTCGGGCAAAACCCAACCTTGTGATCGAAGTGAAATAAAAATATGGTGAGCAGTTGGACCTCGTAGCTCAGTTGGTAGAGCACCGGGCTGGTAACCCAGTGGTCGCTGGTTGGAATCCGACCGCGATTCAGATTTTCATCCCACCTTCAATCATCACAGTGTAAATACTAGCCTTCCAAATTATGGCCATCTTAGATAGTCAAATGATAATTCATATGCTTCAAGAACAATATGACACAATAGAATTATTCGTTTTATTTCTTTATGAATTGGACAGATGATTTGATCAGCTGTGATGGGTGTGCGCCCACATACACACACACATACACGAACGTAAACCACGTGTTTCACTACTTTATTTTTGCTAAACAACTAAAATTAAGAAAGTAATACAGAATTCTATAGCACTTACAGGTACAGATGATTTACAAAAGAAGAGTACTCAGTGTAATTAGTAACTACATGGAAGGGGTATTAGTGGAGAGGATGCATAACAGGAAAATCTAGTTTGTTTAGCAGTCAAAGAAAGTTAAATAACATTATATTCATTATGGATTGATAGCAGTTGGGAAGACTATTAAAAACCTAGGAGAACATGAAAGCTATTTCGGCCAATTTTGAGACTCTTCAGCGGTGTGGACCCTACGACCCCGTGGGGAGTCAAACTCAGAACTGTCAAGTCTTGTGGTGAGAAGGTTAATGATCAATTTTCAAATTATTAAGCATACTTTATTGTAGATTTTACATTCAAGTGAAGTAAAATGAATTCGTATCCTGTTAGTTCTAGATTCAAATGGAATTGATAAACAACAATATCAAGCGGTTGGTTAACTAATTTTTACTGTATCATGACTAGAGAGAGACAGGTCAAAATTCACTCAGGTACTTTGTGCACATTCGTGCAGTAGGCACTAACCTAGGCCTGTTGTGTGAAGGTTAATGATACTACCTAGCTGTCCAGACCTCGGTAGGTGGAGCGTGGTTTGAACCCCTCATCATCATCGTCATCATCTATCAATATCGGACCAGGCATTACTGCATAACGGTTCGAATTACCACACCTCATATCACTATATCAAGTAAACAAGACAGTGAAGTGGAAGATGAAGAAGGAAAGAAAATTCAGTCCAAAGAAATACAAAGTACTAAAAGAGAGAAAGAAAGAATGAGAAAATGGTGAGACTCGGTATAGCCTAAAGATGAGGATAATGTGTATATACATCTGCGCCAATAATATCGGTTCTCACCTAGAGTCAGTCTCCAACCACTGGTTCCTATTGTCCCGTGGACCCGAACCGACTAGTCTGCATCGCCCAACATAGCTCGAACCAACAGTCAAACACTTCATACATTGATGCCATGTCTTAGTCTGCCACATCAAACCTTTTTCCAGGCTGGACCTACTTCGGTCAACATTATGTGACGAGACAGTCAGCGAACCTATAAGCTATCAGTTGAAAGTAAGGTGCCTTGACCAATGAACCATAGTTCCATAGACAAAGGAAGAACAGCTTCATCCACTCTTTCTCTCTACTATTGAATAAACCACATATTCATAACACCAGCCATATTAATGGAGAATTAACATTTTTCACTAGCACTACAGTTAGAAAACGTTAAACTAGCTATTTCAAGGAGAAAAGTATAAATGAATCAATAATTCAGTTTTTGAAGAAAAATCAGCAAAATTTATTCAACAATAGTTACTGTTTCGAAATCGCTTTTCATCATCAGACATAAAGAGGTTGTAGTAAACAAATTCTGAATAATCTTTACTAAATATAAAGCGTTCTGTATGTGAGTAAAATATGAAACTATCGATTTTATCGCTTCTTAATGGATATGTACCAACTAATCTACTTGCCTGCTTTTGAAGTGAAGACAGGAGTGAAACAAGGTTGCCTACTATCCCCCATGATCTTCCTGATTGTGGTGGACTGGATCATGCAGCAAACAGTAGGCAGCGAGAAGAGGGGGATACGCTGGACGGCGGAAAAGAACCTAGAAGACTTGGATTTCGCCGATGACTTGTGCCTAATGTCACATAAACTT